AGAGAGAGAGAGAGAGAGAGAGCAATATCGTTGCGCTCTTTTGTCTCGTAGAATGGTGGGGCGGGCACACACGCATATGCTGCATATCACATGGATGTGCGCCCGCTTAAAAATCACTCCCCATTGGCCCACCCTTAATTGCCAATAACTTTTTTAGGGGTGAGTCTGATCAAAAAGTGCAAGAGGACTTTTCTGCTCAGAATCACCCTAGGTCTGATCCTAGGGTCACTTCACACACACTCAAGAAGGTGTTCCAACACCTGGTGTATGTGGTGTATGTTTCGTTCACTTGTACATGTACTTCTGCAACACTCTGTATAGAGAGAAATATATAAAATCACCCTGTGACCTGTCAGGATTGGGTTGGCTTGATTCACATCAGGTCACCAGGTTGGGGTCACGTCGGCTCGGGTCACGTCGGGTCGACTCGGATCACGTCAGGTCGTCCCCAGGACATCAGTGTCGCCCCAGAGCCGCATCAGTGTCGCCCCACGGCCGCATCTGTCGCCACAGGGGCAAATCAAGCGTCGCCTGAATTTTGAGCCTCGCCTGAATTTTTGGGCTTATTTTTTTATTATATAGAGAGATATTCGTTATGGGGAGACTAGATCTTGCGCATGCGCGAATCTCCTCTCCATCAGGTTGTAACTTGTGAGAGTTCACTCTACTGCGAGACGAGAGACGTGTTGTAACCAATAAACCATAGTTCCAATAATAAAACCCGTGTACTATTTATTGTGTCCATACCCGCAATCCAACAGATTATGTGCCCAGAGCACGCTCCCTAGCGTAAATAAAAACTCGAGTGAGAAACGAAAAATAAAAGTGATAGTGAAAAATAAGGACAAACCCGCAGGAACATAGTGCCACGTATCTGGTAGTCTGAGGTGGCGAGGAAAGGCAAGGGAAGGCTGGAAAGATGGAAAAGCCAGAAGGAGAGAGGCGTAAGTACAGTTGAATGTGCTATACTGGTGGTAAGCGTCTCCCAGGCAACGGAAAGGGATTGCGTCATCATAGAAACAACGTGGACGTTGGGAGATAAGATGGTGGACAGCAGACGTTGGCCAAACGATCAAATAAAAACCCGGGAGAAAATAGTTATTTTCATCACACGGTCCAAAAGTATTTTCTGACGAATGTGATTATAGGCCTCGCCTTCGGCTCGGCCTACAAAGCCACATTCGTCAGAAAATACTTTTGGACCGTGTGATGAATGCAATTTTTCGTCAGAAGGCCCGTAAACCGCGATGAAACCGAGCGAAGTTACGTTAGAATCGCGGTTTACCGGGTCTTCTCACGAAAATAAAATATTCAATTAGGGAATTGAAAATTCCAAAGAAAATTAAAATGAAAATAGATTGAAATAGGTGAGAATAATATATGTTGAGGGATGAGTTGGGAGAGTTGTAACATGGTGAGGGACGCGTCCAATCCATAGAGAATCGGTGAGAGCAGGGGATGGAAACTCAATGTAAATGCCTATACCTGGTTATTTGGCTAGCGGGTCTCTAGGGGGCACCAACTTACTGACAAAAAGTCCTAGAATTCGGTGCTAAACGCTGTTGGTGCTCTACTTTTTAGTTATATCCCTAATGAAATCATAATAATAATAAAATGAATAATTTTTTGGACGTGCAGTAAATTATTGATAGAATAATCAAACAAAATATAATTGATGGACGGAAGAAAAGAGAAATATATCAATTATTTTTCCTCAGTCTTGTTGATATTATGAGAAGCAATTGACCAAATGAAATGTCATACTTATACCTTTCTGTTTTTAGAAATAATCCTCAATAAATCTGAATTACATGCAATGATTATCGTTTTGGTATTAATGACATCTTTATGGTTTTTTTTCCTATAATTCCTATGTAGAGGACATCCAAAATCGACTAATTTCAATTGTCGATTGTGGAAATTTATGTCATTTCATATAATTTATTCATTATTCTCTATATATAGTCGAATAATGGAAGCAGAATCAATTATCATACCGCTGAATTTTATCCTTGAAAAAATTGTTCATTTCTATGGGGATGATGTGAAAAAGCGACGTATCAGGAGGATCATATGTAGGAAGAAAATATTTCAGTTTCTTAATAAATAAATGCAGTTCATTAATCATTTTTTAATTGTTTTATCATATATTTTATCATTTAATATTATTTAATACAGACATAAAAACGTTGTGAGAGGAAATATGGGCCTTAAGGGGTGAAATACCACTGTTGGTCATCAGCCCCCAGAAATTTTTTTCCATCTGTAATTAAATGATGAATTAAGTGATTAGAAATTGTATGAAGTGATTTCGAATGATTTGTAGAATGATTGTTCCAAATTCCAATTTTACCGTTTCCAATCATAACTTCACATTTGGTGGAACGTCTATTGTACTTGGTTTAAATTTTCTCTGGCATCACGATCACGACAACTCGTTCTTCATCGAGGGGTTCAATTTTCCATAGATGCACTGGACAATCCTCTGAAGGTTGTCCACTGATATAGAGCTGATGTGCTGTTTTCACGTTCCGAGATTCTGTTTCTGATATTGTGAAGGATGTGTCCACTTAGGGCTGGGATTACGAGGGCTCTTGTCGTTGGGGTTGATTGAATTGGACCTCTTGACTTGACCTGAATTGTGATGGTTGACGGTGCTCTTATCATAGCTGGGGATATAGTTGTTCACTGTCACCTCACGTGTTCAGGTCACGAAGCTAAAGTACTTGGATATCCTTACTTTCAGCCCAGCAGCCGGGCGCAGTGGGTAAGGTCGTTGCCTCACGTGCGCAAGGTTTCCCAGTTTAAACCCCGGTCGGGTTGAATTGTGAGATCTAACCATTTTAAGATCTTAATCATCATCGTAACATACTTTTCAACCAAGTCGAAGCGATGTAAAATAACAATAAAAAAAATCCTTAATATGATCTTCCAATTGAACTTTTCAAAAGTTCTAAATTCATCAAGTTTTTTCCTAATTCTCTCCAGCTGATGTATCTCCATCATCTCCATCTCCCCTTCTGAAAATAAACCTCATGAATGGACTTGAGCGCCGTAGAATTAAAATAGAAAAATCAATTATTCAAAACGAAGAGGCAAAAAGTAGATGATGACAACAAGACCAGTCATCGCTCGCGTATGACTCATGTATCTCCGTCGAGATTGAGGATAGCCACCGGGTCAACTCAGGACGGAAGTCCAGACTTGACCGTAGTCACGAGGGTCACTAAGGGGAGGGTCAAACCTCACGAGGGTCACGAGGGTCAAAGGTCACGGCGGTCACTAGAGGGAGAGTCAAACGTCACGAGGGTGATTAGAGGGAACGTCAAACGTCACGAGGGTCACTAGGTGAAGAGTCAAACGTCACGAGGGTCATTAGAGGGAGAGGGTCAAACGTCACAAGGGTCACTAGGGGGAGAGTCAAACGTCACGAGGGTGATTAGATGGAACGTCAAACGTCACGAGGGTCACTAGGTGAAGAGTCAAACGTCACGAGGGTCACTAGAGGGAGGGTCAAACGTCACAAGGGTCATTAGAGGGAGAGTCAAACGTCACGAGGGTCACTAGGGGGAGGGTCAAACGTCACGAGGGTCACTAAGGGGAGGGTCAAACGTCACGAGGGTCATTAGAGGGAGAGGGTCAAACGTCACAAGGGTCACTAGGGGGAGAGTCAAACGTCACAAGGGTGATTAGATGGAACGTCAAACGTCACGAGGGTCACTAGGTGAAGAGTCAAACGTCACGAGGGTCATTAGAGGGAGAGGGTCAAACGTCACGAGGGTCACTAGGGGGAGAGTCAAACGTCACGAGGGTCATTAGAGGGAGAGGGTCAAACGTCACAAGGGTCACTAGGGGGAGAGTCAAACGTCACGAGGGTGATTAGATGGAACGTCAAACGTCACGAGGGTCACTAGGTGAAGAGTCAAACGTCACGAGGGTCACTAGAGGGAGGGTCAAACGTCACAAGGGTCATTAGAGGGAGAGTCAAACGTCACGAGGGTCACTAGGGGGAGGGTCAAACGTCACGAGGGTCACTAAGGGGAGGGTCAAACGTCACGAGGGTCATTAGAGGGAGAGGGTCAAACGTCACAAGGGTCACTAGGGGGAGAGTCAAACGTCACGAGGGTGATTAGATGGAACGTCAAACGTCACGAGGGTCACTAGGTGAAGAGTCAAACGTCACGAGGGTCACTAGAGGGAGGGTCAAACGTCACAAGGGTCATTAGAGGGAGAGTCAAACGTCACGAGGGTCACTAGGGGGAGGGTCAAACGTCACGAGGGTCACTAAGGGGAGGGTCAAACGTCACGAGGGTCATTAGAGGGAGAGGGTCAAACGTCACAAGGGTCACTAGGGGGAGAGTCAAACGTCACGAGGGTGATTAGATGGAACGTCAAACATCACGAGGGTCACTAGGTGAAGAGTCAAACGTCACGAGGGTCACTAGAGGGAGGGTCAAACGTCACAAGGGTCATTAGAGGGAGAGTCAAACGTCACGAGGGTCACTAGGGGGGGAGTCAAACGTCATGAGGGTCATTAGGGGGAGGGTCAAACGTCACGAGGGTCACTAGGGAGAGGGTCAAATTAGGGCCTGGAGTTGACCTTTACCTTCTTTCCTTCATGAGGAAATCCATCCGTGGCTTTTTCTGTTTGGAAAACTTGAAAAACTATTTTTCTCTATTTTTCCAGATTTTTTGGTGACTCAATTTAAAGATGTTTTTCCTTTTTTTTCTTTTTTCGATAATTCAAGTTCTACCAATCAGATTTTAATATTCTTATAGAATGTAAAAATCCAAAATTTTGACGCTCAATAAATCGAAATCGCATGGATAAAACTTGAATTATTGAAAAAATAAAGCTAAGAAAAAAGAAAGAAAAAAAATATCTTCATATAGGGCCATCGACAAAATTTGGAAAAATGAAGAAAAATACTTTTTCAAGTACCCCAAACGTAGAAAAAGCTACTATGGATTTCCTCATGAACTCCTGACCCTTATTTGACCCTGCCCGTAGCAACTTTTGTGACGTTTGACCCTCCCCCTAGTGACCCTCGTGACGTTTGACCCCCCCCCCCTAAGGACCCTTGTGACGATTGACTCTCCCCCTTGTGACCCTTGTGACATTAGACCCTCTCCCTCTAATGATCCTCGTGACCCTCGTGAGGTTTGACCCTCCCCATAGTAACCCTCGTGACGCTTGACCCTCTCTTTAGTGACCCTCGTAACGTTTGACTCTACCCGTAGTGAAATTTACATACTTCATGTGCTAAGTCAACATATCTCTTTTTTTTGTGATAACCCAACGAGTTAAGTCAACTTGACTCTCCACACAGAATTAAAATTTGGAGGTAACTACTTGAAACTGCATAAAGGATTAATTCCGCAATTTTATAATTTTATATAATTTTATAATTTATGGCATAAGAATCTGAGATAAAATCAGAAAGTCTACTTCTGGTGAAAAATTGATAAAATAATTCAAAAGATACGATTTTTGAAGATTACGATCATTTTTCATGAAAAATTTATTCAAAATAGGAGTGTTCCACCCTGCAATGATTTTTTTGGAAATCCTAACAAATTTATTAACATTCAGAATTTCACCACCAATCGATTTCATGCCTAAAAATAAGGTTTCCGAAAGGTTAAACAATTTTAATTATTTGTTTGCAAGAAGGGAATGTTTGAAAGAATAATAATTATTTACAAAATGTAATTTAACTGAAACTGAATATCCATGTTTTTTTTTTAATTTTCACACGTAATTTGATTGAAACATTAAATCGTTGAAAATGTCTGAATGTATAATGTGATCTGTATCAAACTGGAACAAGTACTTAAATATATCCTCAAATTTACTGTGTGGTGTACCGGGGAGATACTGGACCAGTAAAATTTTTGGTGCAACCCAATAAATTTACTGGACAGATAAATTTTAACAGTCGGTTAGTCTCACAGGCTGTTAAATTCGCCTAGCAGGGCTTGGAGGGGTTGGTGCAACCGGGCCTTAGTGAAATTTTAAAATCGACAATATTTGGATAATGCTCATAAGAATTCGTATTTTGAACAATCAAACAAAATAGATTGCCAAATAAAAATCGTAATAAAAAAAATGAAAAAATAAAAAATTTTTCTTTTACCATAGGATACATTGTCACTCAGGACTCGTTTCGATACCGCTGGCTTTTGAGCATTGTCATGTGAGCATCTTGGTTGATCATCGACTAGGGCCCTAACTGGTGCTGTATCCACGAGGATTTCACCTGATGATACCAGAGATGTGTGGACAGGCACATNAGGATATCACCTGATGATACCAGAGATGTGTGGACAGGCACATCGTTTACAATCTCAATATTAATTAGTGGAGGGATATTTTCTGTAATTAAAAGACAGAACGAATGAGGACAAAAGGATTGACTGCAAACTGTGGATGATAGGAGAATGATGATAAAATATCCATGATTGAATTAATCTTTGCAACATCAGACCAATTTTGACTCACAAAATGAGGTACACATAACGTGGATGAAGAATCACTCAATGGTTATGAGTATAATAAAGGTTTCAATGACGAGAAATTACCAGTCATCAATACGTTCAATTTCAACGTTCGGTGGTGGCTGGTTACAAGGAGTACATTGAATTGTTTGTCCATCTCTTGACACTTCAAGTTTTGCCTTTGGTAATGGTGTTGGAGTTTCCCTTGAACGTTTGGAATTAACTAATGGGGAAGAGAAAAACAAAATTAGTGAGTTTCAATGCAATCACGTGTGTTTGATAGTCCAACAACAATAGTTCTATGAGCTATAAACACTTGCAGAATAATTGAAAAGAACAACTTCTATCTGCTGAATAGTGGAGTTTCTCATGCCAAGAGGTTTCATCATAGTTACCTGATGATTTTTTGATTTTATTGAGATGTACTTCTCCTGCATAGAGCGCCCTCAAATCTTCCAAAGGTATGGAAACTCTTTTGGCTAGAAAATTTAAATAAGATTATATATAATGCAGGTATCAATAATTCTAACGTGAAAAGAATGTTCACAATTTGCTTTCTGGAGTTCAGTTGATGTTCAACTCAAGAATGAATTTCTTTCTCTCAAATTTTATTGGTGTCCCTTGTAATTAAGTGGCATTTCTTAAAATTTTGTTGAAGTCACTACCCCGTGCTACCAGCTCCCGAATAAATAAAAAAATAAACCATTCCCTTAATTAGAAATTTGTTTTAATTTGATTACTCGAATTATTAATTTGGTGACACCCATCGATGGATTTGTAAAATCAGGAAATCAATCATCACACAAGAATGATAAGAAAAAGAAATTATTTGAATTTTGAATCTTCTGTGAAGAAACATTAGCCCACAATAGCTCATCTGGATAAAAATTTGTGCATAATCTACCTTCTGTGGGGAGGAGAGTATTCTTGACTGTTTGAGGATATGGGAAATTTTGCAAAAGATCATCGTCAGGAGNACCACAATCCAGGGATGTCTCGCAAGGGATTATTGCAGGTGTTGAATATTCGGGGGTCCACTGTGGGGAATTTCCAGGAGGCGATGGCTTCTCCAATTGATCGGGTGGGGCCGGAACTGATGTCTTCCTTCGGCTGATGTCTTTGTGATGTCCAGGGGCAGGGATAGAGGGGCGATGAGGGGAAAAGTCTGGGGAAGGGGTATCCAACGGTGGCGGGATTTACATTTTATTGGGCAGTGTGTAATGGGAAAAAATATGTAGAAAAATAATAAAAAATAAATGAATATGCCTCGTCACAAGGAACAATTTGTGAATGAAACACAGATGGTACAGCTGTATCATTCAATTTCTTCTTGGATGGATTTCGAAACTGATCAACAGTGAAATGACATCCACATACATAACGTATTTTGTACGTAAATACAAATAAAACCATTCTTTCCACTAATAAATTCTTTAACTCTTTTACTCCTATTCTCCGTACCCACTCCTTACACCTAAAGCAAAACACAAAATGCTAAAGTAACAACTGAGTCCATTCAGAAATCGGGAAATTTCTGTCATTATTAAACAAATTAATTACCGATCCAATTGTTTTGGGAAGCTCGCAAAAATACAGTGTTTATTCTTATGGTGAAAGTGTCCGCAATATGGGACCACACCTGGAATTTCTTGGCATCTGCACAGAATGAAAAATGATGAGCTAGCAATATCGAAATTGAAGATAACCTAACTTCTAACAGTTGTGCAGAGGAGCACGCATCATCAAGGAAATTCGTAATACTAGACAACAATATATATATTTATATATTACTATCATATATGTAAAATAGAAATTGTAAGAATATTAACTATCAACTATCCACATTATCATTAAAGAAAAACAAGCCAGAAACTTTTGTAAAAAAGTTCAGAAATTTCCATAAGATAAATTGTAATAACACTCAATTATACTTACAATGCCTCAAAATAATCACTCAGTCCTTTCACCTCTATAAACTCACTATTTAGTTTTGTATTAATCACCTTTAATAATTGTTAATTATTCACGTAGCAAAAATTGTCACTCGAGGTAAACAACAACGGAACAATATGGCGTCTGGAATAGCGTCAAACAATATGGCGGCGGGGTCAGGATTACCATGAAAAATAAATGAAATTCAGTTGGCAAACGTGAGAAAACCCGTTTGCCAAATAAAAGTGGAGGGGGAAGGCTGAGTTGTAACATGGTGATGGACGCGTCCAATACATAAAGAATCGATGAGAGAAGCGTCCATGTATGGAGAATCGGTGAGGGACGCGAACAGTATAGAGCAGGGATGGGCAAAGTCGGAACCTCGGGAGCCACGGTCATAAAGCCCTATTAGACCCATTGTTCAGAATACAATACCCCAATTGCGTGAGGCCCAGCGTAGTCAGAGTGGGGGTAGCAGCGTGCACGAAGAGGGGCACAGTTAGACAGAGAGAGCGCCACGCGCTCAACAGAAAGCACTGGATTTGAAACGAATTGGATTTGTCCTTATAATTTAATCTATTTTACACATAAAGTTCCCATTTTTCGCCGATATATGAGCCAAAAAAGACAACTTAAAACGATTTTACCATGAAAATTCTGCAAAGAAATTTCCCTCGAATGATTTGTATGAACAAATTCTTTTAAGTTAATTTTTCCTATGAATCTATTTATTCTTTCAATAGTCATATTCGAACAAATTCCAAATAATGGTCGGCCAAACACTAATGGAATTTTCATAGGAATCCAATAGAATTTCATTAAAATAAAAAACTAGGATTGTTTATTCGATTTTTTCACCTGTGATCATTTTTCAATTATCTTTGCTCGGTCACTCTCTGCAGCTAACCATTCTGATTTTTTTCTGCAGTAATTATTCATTTTCGTGGTTAACTGGAAATGGATGAATTTTCAAAGATTTAACAGTGGGATCGATATAATGAAAAAAAGTCAAGAGATGAAATGATCAAATTTCTTGTTTCCGTGCTTTTTTAAGGTCAAAAATCTTTTAAATTTAAGTAAGACTGTCACTTGCTGAACATTTAATTCCTGAAATGCGGAAAACACAATTAAATTTTTTAAATACTGCTTAGGGAATGTTCAAACAATATTAACAAAAATTGAAAAATCTTTTCACCAGTGTTTTTCAATTCATTTGCTGCCGAAATATTCAATTTGGAGTGATTTATTAAACGGAATTTTATGCGGAAGTTGATATAGAAAAAAATGAACAATTGATATTTTTTAACCATGCAAAATATATCAAGAAAAATATTCATATTTTTCTTTCAAAAATTCAAATTTTGTGCGTGTTGACTGACATAACGATACCCCCACTCTGACCCAAGCATTGTGTCTCGCCACTCCGACTACCTGCACAATACAACAGCACCCCTTTTTTTATGGTCATTGGCCTAATTGGGGTTGGGAGCTCGGTGAGCTCGGAGAGCTCACTTTGCCCAGGCCTGGTATAGAGAGTAGGTTAACGTGGTGGGTGCGCGCGCAGCATTGGTGGGGATAGTGACCAGGAGTGGCTGTAGTTAAGCAGCACCCGCAAAGCTCGAGCGAATGATGAGATGGCGAGATGTAGAAAAGAGAAGGGGTCACGCGGCTCTCCGCCAGCGCGCGCGCATCGCAACTGCGGCCGGCGGCAAAACTAAATGCAAATTTGAAATTGATGCGAACTACAAATAAGGCGAAAGTGCACAAAAATAAAAACAAGCCCAAATCAGTAAAGTAATAAATAAATTACCATAGGTGACGACTTGTGGGAGCTGTGGAGACAATTAACGTTCGTCTTTGGATTTGATGAACTCCATAAAGGAGAGGACGTCGTCCTCGAGTTAGTAGAGGAGACAGTGTTAATACGAACAGACACAATTAAGTGTTATAAGTTTGGCGAGTTGAGATGAATTAAAAAGGACAGTTACGATGAGAAATTCATGCGATCAAAGTGCTTGTGAGGATATTAGCTAGCAAATATAATCACAAATTAACTAAGCACTGAAAATGATCAAATAAAACAAAAATATTCGTTAAAAATTCAGAATAAAATCTAAAGTTTGGTTGCTCCAAAGGGGTGATCAGTGGAAGCGTGCTTGTGTTCAGTGCGTGGAAATTGATCAACTCTGTCGGGCATAGAGCGGATATTGTGTTCATATCTCGTCTGTGTCTGACTGTCCTGAAGCTGACTATACTTGTATTCGGTTGGTCGGTGAAAGGGCATAATATACAAATGATAATACTGATATTCATAGATTCTATTTATCACAACAGCCAAAAGCATGATGACAGAGAACCAGTGGAGACTACTGGTGGAGTGGCATGAGCAGAAGCTCCTCGCCAATAAGCCTCCTCCCATCATGCCCAAAATCTATGAGGAGCAACCACCAATTACTGCCGAGGTGAGTGAGATGAGCAAAGGTGAGGAGAGTGACGGTGAGAACGGGGAGGATGGTGAGAACGGTGAGGACGGTGCGAACGGTGAGGAAAGTAAAGGTGCGTCGGCCGAACAGGGTGCGGGACAAGCGGCAGTAATTGAGGCTCTCAAAGCAGGTAAAAGTAAACCCCAGATTACAAAAATCAAGTATGTGGAACCTCAAGTTAAAATAAGGTCCACGTTACAAAACCACCCGACAAATCCAATGAGATACCACGCGAACAAACCAAGAACTGAAATTCCAGTGGAAGGTAAACTTGAATCGGTGTGCTCGAAACTTGATGCTGTGACCCGCACACTCGTGAAGGTTTTGAATATTCAGACTGACACTAGTGGCTGGATACTAGACAGCATCAAGGAAATGAGAAAAGAGATGAGCCAGATGAGGAATGGCCGGGATGACGGGCTCTCCCATATCGATGACGGGACGGAGAGTCCGCTGAGGGCTGAAACTGAGGACCCTGTTAAAAAGGTGGCAAATGGGTCAGATTTACAGATGGGTAAGATTCGAAGAAATTAATATCACCGATAAATACCTCAAATATCCCGAAATAAACTTTTGGGGAGAGTAGAAATACACGCTAATCCCTAAATACTCGAGAATTCCGAGAATTGAGGGGAAAGGTATGCGAGCGACAATGGGAGCGAGAGAGAGGAGAACGTATTCAATCATCGATTTTTCGTACCAGCCAAAACGGCTGAAATTCCGTAAAACTCAACTTGCCATAACTCGAAAATGGCAGAGTCAAAAATTACGGACCCTGAGACAAAATGTCCGGGAGAGTCTACCGAAGACAACAATACCAAAAAAATAATTTTTCCTAAACAATTAGCCGCTCCAGGTTCATTAATCCCCGAGCGGAATTCTAAACGCTAAAAGGCTCGCGTGAAGCGAGAATAGCCACGTGTAAACGTGGATGAGTATCTGAGGGGGAGTCGAGAGTCGGGGGGAATTCCCCCTCGAGAAACACGGCGTACACGCCAGCGAGAATGGGCTGGAAATCCATAAGGACCAAAAATGGAATATCCGGAAATCGGCAGAGCAAATTTTC